CACACACACACACACACACACACACACACACACACACACACACACGTATATCTCACACACACACACACACACACACATGTACACACAAAAAAAAACAAAAAGCAGAAAAAGATCGCGCCATGTAGTGCGCTTTCACAGTACCCCTCCTCCCCCAACTTCTCCTAACCCTCCCCCTTCCCCATCCCTCTCTCTCTCTCTCTCTCTCTCTCACACACACACACACACACACATATACACACATGCACACACACACACACATACACCCACACACACGCCGACGCCCACACTGTTTTTGCGCGTGTGTGTGCTTGCCGTTCGTTCGTGCGTGTGTGCGTGAGTGGGTTGTGATGTTCGTTATACACAACTCCACAAAAAGAGCATGACTGAGCCAGACTGTTTCGTTGGACTTTCACTGACTCATCAGGAGGTTGAACCCCGACAATCTGCCCACGATACATTTGCAGGGTTACATGTGCCCACACGCCCGTGCAATGCCATGTTCGCTACACACAACTCCACAAAAGCACGCATGCCTTAAGAGAGAGGGCGTCTTCGACTGTGGGCAACAGCTGTCAGTCGCAGGACGGGGCCGAACGACGCAACGTGTTGAGGAGGGTGCACACCTAGACTCGTTTGTCGGCTTCGCTGGGTCCAGTAGAGGCATTGGACTGTGTAGATTGAGTGCGCCACCCTGCAACAGGTGCCAGGGCGGTTCTTTTACAACAACCCCTCTTTCAATGGGCACGACGATCCAGGCCGCCCGCGGTCCTTCCGGGCTGATGGCTCGGATCGTCCCGCGATCTTAAGACTTCGCGCAGTGATGCAGGCCATTCGGCAGGGCGGACGGCCTGGATCATCGCGTGATCTTAAGGTCTTAAAGTCTTAAGATCACGCAGAACTCCGGACCGTCGAGCCGGTAGGACCCCGGGCAGGCTGGATCATCCAATTCTCATGTTAGCAATTTCTTTAAGTGTAGGGAAAGAAGTCCTGTGTGACCTGGGGCTTAAGTTGCTCAGTTTATCATTCTGTATAACAAAGTTTTTTGAATTTTTTTCTAAGTTTTAACGTTTTTTCCTTTTTTTTGCACGAACCTTGCCTGGCTGTTTGCTTGGCCGGCTGTAGCCAAGGTAGCCAAATTGGCCCAGGTGGCACGGTTGGTAGCCCAGAATTTAACATGCGAGTGTGTGTTTTGAATTTTCACCACAACAGCCCCTATTCCACCCAGATGAGGATGTCCAAAATCGAAGCATATTCAATCCTATTACGGACACCGAAAGCCCTTGAGTTGAGACAATCCAACAATGAAACAGTTTCACTTCTTTAGCAAGCAACATGGAGTATGATAGAGGGGGCGTGTAAACCCCGTTCTTGATTGTGTTCGTGCTTGCTTACTTTGGGGTCCCCCTTTCATTTGTTCGCGCAGCTCCCCCTTCACCGTGCCTCTCATCGCCATGTTGATTGTGGTTGAGCGAAGCTGCCCACATCCCGGTGTGCCATAAAGGCTCACTTGTACACTATGAAAGGAGGCAGAGCAAAGGCGGAGGTATATTCCTGTTCATTTCTTCTCAGATCTTCAACTTATATTTTCAACATATATTTTGTCTGTTCTCCTAATGATGCTCATTCGTATGTATTACTAGTAATATAGAATCGGGAGGGAGGAAATGGGAGGTGGAGTTCGAACAGGGTACTAAACACTGACCGCTGGGCCAGACCATTCTAGAATGGCAGATGAGGGCAGTGAGTGTGTTGGTTGCATACGATGTGAGGAGCAATTGTTGCCGTCGCTGGTAAGTGGCCGCCTCTACAGACCAGGCAGGACCTGTTCGGGTGTGGCCTGTCGAAACACCACACTCGGCCACTCTCCCGAAGAATTCAGCATCCTACAGGATTTGAACCTGTCACCTTGAACTTAAAAGGTTGTTGCTCTATCCAGCTGAGCTAAGATGCAGTCGCAGTTACTGCATCGAATAGCACGGCATAGACAGATGTCACAGCCTCCGTGGCTCCTACATGCTAGGGACAGAGGCACGTCGACTGCAATTGTCGAGGCATTGCCGTTCCAGCCCGTCTACAAATTGGACATGACATTTCAGGGTGCCATGCATGAGTGCAGTGTAGGCTGTCATCACACCTGTGAAGAGAAAAGCTCGCCCGGGCTATCCATTCCTAATCCTCACGGCATACGGCATGCGAACCACATGCTAGCTGATCTCCGGTGGGTCATCACAAAAAGCGGCATGGAGCAAGTTTCTTGGGTTTCCTCAGTATCTACTCCTCCTCTATTGGTAGACGACGACAGAGGAGATTGATCCAAAGCAAGCGTGTTTAGCCCATGCAGGATTTGGTATGTGTGTGCGCGTGTGGCACTGTGTGCGTTGTCATGATCGCTATACACAACTCCACAAAAAATGCATGACTGTGCCAAACTGTTTCGTCCGACTTTCACCACACACACACACACACACACACACACACACACACACACACAGAGAGNAGAGAGAGAGAGAGAGAGAGAGAGAGAGAGAGAGAGAGAGAGAGAGAGAGAGAGAGAGAGAGCCGGAGAGCTGGTGAGGGGGAGAAAGAGGGACTGCAGGCAGTCTGGTCATAGTTGACAGTGTGGATGCGGTTCTATTTCTGGGATGAACAAACCATTTGCAAACCAAACGAGCTCCGGTGGCAAACGCTTTGCGAGCTAATGAAATTCTCCCCAATGACACATCGGCAAGTGAATACGCACTGCACATACGTGAATGACTGAAACAACAGAACAGACATGAATAACAGACTTTTCTCAAGGATGAATGTGACACATTTCCCAGGAACGAAACATAACGCCAACCAGAGAACCTTTTTCCACAGGCAACCGAAGAGCAATCTGGACATGGCTGAAATCCGGCATGGACAGGACACTCCCCTACAGAACTTCCCTCAGGGGACACCTCTCAAGGGCAGGGAGAAACCATGGGAAAAAGCATCCCAAGGCTTCTCCAACGCGACGATGGCACCAGGTCCTTCGTTGGCAAGGTTCCAGGTATTCCAAGGAGGAAAAGACAGAAATGATTTGTTTCAAGAAGAGCCACAACGGAAAACCGACTAGCGATACTGCACAATTCAGACTTCCTGATGAGAAAAAATCCAACTACGGTAGTGAATTGGCACATTTTTGCATAACACTATGTACAGCCTGCTCCTGTCTCTAGCGCAAGATATTCATTGGGGAAGTTTCCAACCCCAAGCACATTCCAGCCAAGGAAAAAACAGAACACAACCTACAGATCCTCCTAAGGCCAAGGATGGAGCGTGCTCCCAATGAGTTCGAACCCCACGCTCCTCTCCCCTCCCCATCACCGCCGACCAAACCCCTTCCGACCCTGATGATACCCCTTCAGACCCTGATATTGCAGATGCAAGGAGTAGCCATGCTTCTGAAAAGTGGCTGGTGAGAGAACTGGCAGGGCAGGCGGGATAGTAAAACACGCAATGAAATGCTGGGGCTCATGGAGGCATGGCCATGAGGGTGAATGCAGAACAGTGGAGAATATGAAGAGGGGGACAAGATACAAACAAGTTGGCACCTCAGAAAACGAATGAGTCAATGGTCGGAAGACCCTGAACCCTAAACCTCTCACCCCTTCTAGGCACAGACAAGTGACTGACACTGACAAAACTGACTTGCTGGAGCGATCCTCTACTTGTTCGCCGAGGGCAGGGTTGGCGGGGTGTCGAGGAGAGATGATGGGGGGTTGCGGACGGGTGGGGCAAGGGAATTATTTTCTGGCATCTCTTTAAGCACGAAGGCAGTTCCGTGTTTGCATGGTTCTGCCTCATCTGCATGTACACTCCTAATTCTTCTTACTAAGGCCTTCAGGACAAGGACGGGGACAAGAGGAATATGGAACTCGAGATGTGATTAAGACTACAGGAGATAATCACTGTCGAGATGTGGACGAAATTACAGGAGATACGCCTATTTTCAACTTGCCTTCACAGAGGCAGAGGAGATCGCCACGCAACGCACTCTTCTGCATCCGCCTCGCTCCCCATTTCTTCAAAAAAATGGAGTTCCTTCCTGGGGCACCAGTACAACGGCAGCAGTCTTATCCTGACACAAATCACCACTTACATGTACCAGGGAAGACATGCTTCTTGTGCAGGACTTGTCAATCAGTGGACAGCGGACATCATCCAGCACCAAGTTGTTAAAATATATCACATCACTTTTCAGGGAGCAATGCGGAATGCCACTGATAATCCTCAATGCCATTACACGCCACAGACAGTCCCTCACCAACTTCACAGGATGGCTAAATGCAGGAGAGGGTTGCAGGGAACCAGAAATTGTGGTGGTCTGTTCAAGATGAGGGAAAACTACAGAATTCACGCAGAGAAAGCACCCCATGTCCAAATGCTAAGCAAGATAGTTGTACTTCTGTGCATTGGATTTATCCCTCTCAAGATACTCGCGATCGATGAGGCTCTCAATCCTCTTCTTCAGATCCGCAGGCTTCAACGGGAACTTCAGCTGCAATTTTCGACGTGAACGAGCACATAACAACAGTAGACACAATTTTAGAAATACAGAAACCATAGTTCAATCTGGAACCCCAAATATGAAATCCAAGAAGCAAAAAAGCAGTCCTTCGGGACAGCCGTTAAAATTGGAACGATACACAAGATTAGCATGGCCCCTGCACAAGAAGGGGGGAAAAACAACGGAGGCAAAAAAGCAAAGTGCAAGAGAGAATATGCCACAGCAGTGCTAAACAGGTGTAAAACACTTAACAGCACCTTCAACTACAGAGAGTCAGGCATATCACTGCAAGTGGAGCTTGACATTGACTGTCACACTACAAATGTGGAGACAACCATGTGCTTCGTCATTCCATGCCCACTCCGCTCATCATTATATCCACCAGAGTTCTTAAACCACCAGTACTTGTGACGCTTTCTTTGGTTCTGAGCGTGGAAGCACCCGTGCCAACCCTTTCTTTGTTCTGCGCCTGGAAGCGCGCATGCGCCAAACTGTCACATTTTCTTTTTCGGCCAGCCATTTAGCTCTGGTAGGCCATGCCCTGCAAGTTGCAGCGTGTGCACTGCCACGGCGGAGAAAAATGTCTAGGAAAGTATTGGTGGTTCAACACAGTAAGTATAAATTCGTAGCGAGGCACACTACAGATGGCTCCAGATGCAGACTAAAAGCAGCATTCTCAGATATGTGTCAACAGATCACGCTCTGGCAAAAGAGAATAACGACGGAGCTTCTACTGTGACGTGCAAGATTGAGAGAGTGCCACTTATGCCACCTGACTCTCTTTCTACCTCTTCAGATCTTGTAGAAGGGGCTGCACTTTCTACTAAACTTTCCTTTTCTTTGTTTGTTCTACCTACCTTATCTAACTACATCTCATTCTTGTCCTTTTCTTCGCTTAACAGAAGTAGTGCCCTAAGCAC